GGGTTGTCAGTGGGCACATCACTTGAGGATCTGTTGAGGATGTGTGTGTTGGACTGGTGTGGTCAGTGGGCAGATCACTTGAGCTTGGTGGAGTTTGCTTATAATAATAGCTACCACGCGAGTATTGGGATGGCTCCTTATGAGGCATTGTATGGGAGGTCATGTCGGACACCTCTATGTTGGACTCAAGTGGGGGGGATAGGAGCATTTATGGTGCAGATTTTGTTCAGGAGACTTCAGAGAAGCTTCGGGTTCTGAAGCTGAACATGAGAGAGGCGTAGGATCGACAGAAGTGTTATGCTGATAAGAGGCGCAAGGAATTGGAGTTTGAGGTTGGAGATATGGTGTATCTCAAGATGGCGATGTAGCGTGGTCCTAACTGGTCCCTTACCGAGACTAAGCTGAGTCCGAGGTTTATGGGTCCTTTCAGGATTGTGGAGTGGGTTGGACCGGTGGCTCATCGGTTGGAGTTACCTTAGGTGATGCATGCATTTCATAAGGTGTTCCACATGTCGATACTGAGGAAGTGTCTTCACAAGGATGATGAGGTGTTGGCTACGATCCCGACAGATCTTCAGCCTAGCATGACCTTGGAGGCGAGGCTAGTGAGGGTTCTCGAGAGGCGGGTAAAGGAACTTCGACGTAAGAAGATTCCTTTGATGAGAGTCCAGTGGGACTGCGAAGGAGTCTTGGAGGAGACTGGGGAACCAGTGGCCAGAATGAAGGCAAGGTCCGGGAAGTGGTTTGAGAAGCAGGTCGTGGAGTAGACCGTTGGCTTGTGTGTTTTTTGAGTTGTTTTGGTTGTATCTCTTTTGTATTTTCATTTTTGGTGTAATGATTATAACATTTGAGATTAATAAGATGAGTATTTCTTGGATTGACTTGTGGTGTCATGTGTTAAAGAAATATGTGCGAGTTTCTAAAAATAGAAAGTGTCGGGTTTGACGGTTCTATTTTTGAAAGTCTCGGGGTGGTGGTTAGTATAGCATTGCAATGCTATAAGTGGACCACGGGAGGTATATCTGATCGAGAGATATGCTCGGAGGCGTTTAGACTTATTTGCTCGGATATGATGTGATGGCTTCGGATGACGATTCGACTGCACGCTTGAGGGTAACGACCCAAGAGCGAGCGTGAGACTTCCCGGATACCGTAGGTAGAAGGCGGGTGGCCTAATAGTGAGCCGGTATGATTCGAGGGTTGCGACCTGAGAGCGGGGGGAGTGGTAAGACTTCCTGGATACCATAGTCTAAGGCTGAGGCCTAAGAACGAGCCGGTATGATCCATGGACGGGGGAGGTGGGTGTGTATGAGTAAATAGGGTCTGGAACGTGAGCATATTGATTAGATAGGGGTCTCGTAGAGGTCAGTGATGTACTGACGGAGGTGTGGAAGGATTCGAGGACGAATCCTAGTTAGTGGGGGAGAATTGTAACGCCCGTGTCTGGAAATCCGGGTAGTGTCGATCGACACTGTGGTCGGGTGTCGATTGACACTAGTAATTTTGGTTTGACGGTTTAAGTTTTAAATCGTCAGTTCAATTGAAGATTGGTTTGGGTTGGTTAACCCTAGGTCGTGTTTAAAAAAGGGAAGGTCGTGTGTTGTCTCTTCACAGCCGCTTTTTTTAACACTTCCAGAGATAGAGAAAAAGGTTCTAGAGCTTCTGAGGGTTTTCGTGAGTCTTTGGTGGTGCTTGGGGGTTGTTCTTGGTGGTTTAAGGCTAATAGAGGCTAGATCCGTGTTGTAGGGTGTTAGAGGAGGCAGATCCTTCCTTGTTCTTCCCTGTTTTTGTTGCTGTTTTTCTTGTTTAAAGAGGTGAGTGCATGACCAGGCTTATCTAAGCATGTTTGATCATTGTTTAGGGTTTTGATGATTGTTTGATTGATTTCCTTTGCTTGTTTGGCTGTTTATTTGATTATTGATACTTGTGGAATCCCTTGGAGACTCGCTCTTATCATGGTGGTGACTTGTAGAAGAGATCCAGTGAGAAACGCAGTTGGAGCGTCTACAGAGAGTCGGTGTCGATCGACACCAAGGGTGGGTGTCGCTCGCCACCGACGTTTTGTCTCGCGAGAATGACTGTGTTTTACGATTGGAGTGTCGAGACCGGTGTCGATCGACACCAGTGGTGGGTGTCGATCGACATTGATAGTCAGAAGCGATTCTGGTCTATCTTTTATTGGTTGTTTGGTGCTTTTCCTTGGATAATGGTTGAATGTGCTTGTGTGTATAGCGAGTGGTGGTATGATTGTCTCACTAAGTATTTATGAAATACTTATGCATCTCTTTCTTTGATGCAGGTAAAAGCAAAATGTGATCCGTGGAATCATGGCGAGGAGAGGAGGATGATCTATGCGCTCATTGGTGTTTAGATTATTGTAGGATTTGTTAGGATGTTAGAATGGAATTTAGAAGCATGTTAGGATGATTATGTTTCTGGAATAATGATAGTTGATCTTGTTGGATTAATGGTATTGTTTGATTGGATTTTTATTCAAGTCTTCCGCTAGTTACGTTGATTGGTTGTGTTAGAGAGATTGGCTGGTTTGCTTTAAGTGGGTTAATCCGGTTTCATGTTTTAAAATAAAAAAAAATGGGATGGGTTCTTTTAGTGCACTCTTTGCTAATCCGGGAATAGAAGAAGGAGACATCGACATTCAGATCTGTTTATGATCTAGTGTTTTGGAAAAGTTGTCGACTGATGCAGAGTTTTTGAAGCATGTATGTGTTGTATAATTAAAATTATCCAAATCAAATGTATTTGGTATCATGAATTTTTCAAATCATTCTTTTTATTTTATTTGTATATCAAATTTATTTTTTTCTTTTACTCATATTTCTCATATTTGATAACAAAGATATAACTAAAATATTTTTTCTTTAAAGTTTTAGCCATAAATAGATGTTTCCGTTTTAAAATGTAGTCTATAATATTGCTCTAGTAGACAATATCTAAATGGAAAAATGTCAAAAAAAGCCGGAACTTTCAAATTTAGGACGAAAAAGCATTAACTTTCGAAATGTCAATTAAATCCAAAGTTTAGTTTGACTTTTCGATAAAATGATCAAGTTTCGTTGACTGGGCTATTTTGAGTATGACGTTAACTTTGCGTTAAAAAAAATAATAACACAGTTAACTTTCCGTTAGAACCAAAACGACGCCATTTAGTAACTTTTAAAACGTGGTCGTTTTAAAAAAAAATTAAAATTCTAATCTGACTTCAAGAGGAATTTGTTTGCAAAACTCAATCAACCTCCTTTCAAATTTTAAAATTTACGAGTTTCATTTATTTTTAAGATAATATATTAATAGTGTTAATGGGTTTTGAAATTGAAATTCATATATGTTCTTTAAAATAAAATAGAATTATGGATTTAGTTAAAACTGTAAGTTAAATTAGATTTTTTTAAAATAATTTAAGTTACCCCATTTTGAATTTTTAAATTTATGAGTTACACTTGAATTTGTTTAGTTAACTTTCTATATAAATTTAATATTTTGTTATTGTAATTTATTTCCTATTTATATATAAATTAGTTGTGTGGTATGATGCTAAGAAGTTAATGCGGCTCAATGGTCATGAGTAACTTATGATTTGCAATAGCCTTGAGTTCAATTTCCACTGATGACAAATGTGCCTGATAATTTTTTGAAAAAAGAACAATGTTTTAAAAGGTTAATAAAACGATGTTGTTTTGATTCTAACGGAAAATTGACTGCGTTATCATTTTTTTAACGGGAAGTTAACATCGTGGTTGAAATGGCCCAATCAACAAAATTTGATTATTTTATTGAAAAGTCGAACCAAACTTTATGATTTAATTGACATTTCGAAAGTTCATGTTATTTTCGTCATAAATTTAAAAGTTCAGGCTTTTTTGACATTTTTACCATATCTAAATTCTAATTTTGAAAACAGAGGACATAAGTTACGTACACATATACAGGAATTTATTAATATCATATACATATGTAGTTATACATATCTTACTATATATAAAATTTATATGATAATAAGAATAAATTGAAAAATTTACATTGTACATAATTATCAATGTAGCAAAATGGTTATGTTTACAACCATTTTATTTTCAAATCATGATACATGAAGAAAAATATATAGAAACCATAAATAATCAAAATTAATATTAAGATTAAATATCATACAGTTTAAACTTGCATTAAACACATTTAAGCTCTATAATTTTAGGTTTAACAGACTACTCTATTTATTTTGGACTTTATAACCAACCCAAGTCCAGCCATGCTTACTTAGCATGAAAATAGAAAACTCTATCCCAAACACTTTTATTACTCAGCATCGACCCAAATTCATTATAAATTCATGAAACTTAAACCATTATTCTTTTTTGTCCTTTTGTAAGTAACAAATTTGTTTAATTTTTATTTATCAGGGTTTGGTAAAAGAAAACGATAAAACAATTTCTATAATAAAACTAATCTTAATTACTCACTGTATAATTTTTATTTAATTACAAAGTGACAAGAATAATCAAACCCTACAGTAACGTGTTGAAACCGCGTTAGTAATCCAATTTGGTTTCCACGAAACTTCCTCTCTACTTAATTTATTTCTCCACTTGCATAGAAAGTTCCTATTTTGTGTACAAAATTTAAATAAAAATACACCAAATTATTTCTATTTGCTTGTCCAAAAAAAGCAAAATAATATTAAATTGAGAAACATATATAGAAATCATAAGTAATATACATAATTCAAAAAAATAAATGTACATTTAATTCTTTAATTTTTTTTGTCAAGCCATTTAATTCTTTAATTATATATACTTTTTATATAATAAACAAACAAAGAAAGAATTAATGTATTTATTTTCTTTCTATAATATTAGAATATGACTTTCTTATATTCTTTATAACCATTGACCTTTAAACAAAACACACATACGCGTACATTGACCCTATCCTTTATAATCAGATCATCATCTCTTTTATCTCTTTGTGAAGCCTTTTTTGATTGTTTGTTTTCCAAGTAAAGATGAATTCAAGATTTGCTCTTGTTCTGTTCTTGTTCTTTGTTATAGTTCCTTTATCAAAATCATCAATCTTCAAACCCTTCTCTCCTAAATCTCCTCTTTCATCAATCGTCTTCCCTATCTCCGGCAACGTCTTCCCTCTTGGGTAAGCAAATACACATCAAAACGTTTTCTCTATCTTCTTGAATCTTCTTGATTTTGATACGTTTCTTTGTAGGTACTACTCGGTCTTACTTCGAATAGGGAACCCTCCAAAGGCTTTTCAATTTGATATTGATACTGGTAGTGATCTCACTTGGGTTCAATGTAATGCTCCTTGCTCTGGCTGCACTGTGGTATGTGTTACATTATTTCTTGATTTTTCAAGATTAGTCTTTCTTGATCCATCTCTTATGATCTCTGTTTTGTTTTGGTTTTTTGTAGCTTCCTCCACTTCAGTACAAGCCTAAATCAAACACTGTCCCATGTTCAAACCCGATTTGTTCTTCTCTTCACTGGCCTAACAAGCCTCATTGTCCAAACCCTAAAGAACAATGTGACTATGATGTTGAGTATGCTGATCAAGGTTCATCAATGGGTGCACTTGTTACCGATACGTTTCCTTTCACTCTCCTAAATGGTACAATCCTCCAACCTCCTTTAGCATTCGGGTAAGCAAGATCGAAAACAGAACATGTGAATTCTTGAAATGATGACAAATGTTAAATTCTTGAAAAGAATCTGTTTCTTTTTCTTTCTAGGTGTGGTTATGATCAGAGTTTCTCTAATGCACATCCTCCTCCTGCTACTGCTGGAGTTTTGGGGCTTGGGAAAGGCAGAATCAGCGTCTTGTCGCAGCTTGTCTCCGCGGGAGTAACAAGAAACATAGTTGGACATTGCCTAAGCTCTAAAGGTGGAGGCTATTTGTTCTTTGGAGACAGTCTTATTCCTTCCACTGGTGTGACATGGACACCATTATTGTCACCAGAGTATACTTCTTTACATATCTGCCTCGATCGAGCTTTTTAGATTAGATTATATTGTTGTTTACTAGTACTGATTCATTTATTTGTGTTCAGTAACCATTACACGACCGGACCAGCCGAGCTTCTTTTCAATGCAAAGCCAACAGGTTTAAAAGGACTTAAACTCATTTTCGACACCGGAAGCTCATACACTTATTTCAACAGCAAAACATACCAAACTGTAGTCAAGCTGGTACGTATTTGAACAAACACAAAGACACTATTTATGAATGTCACATAACATAATGAATCAATCTCTTTCTCGCGTGTTTCAGATCGAAAACGATGTAAAAAGCACGCCGCTAAAAGTTGCGAAAGACGATAAGACCTTACCAATCTGCTGGAAAGGACCTAAGCCTTTTAAATCTGTTCTTGAAGTCAAGAACTTATTCAAGACCTTAACAATCAACTTTACAAACGGCAGAAAAAACACTCAGCTCCAGATTCCACCTGAATCTTATCTCATTGTTTCAGTAAGGACAAGACACAAAAACTCTGTTTCATACCTCAAAACAGTTACTAAAGAATGTTTTATTGTCTTGTTCAGAAAACTGGGCACGTTTGCTTAGGACTACTTAATGGAAGTGAAGTTGGATTACAAGACTCCAACGTTATCGGAGGTAATAATTAAGAAGAACAAAACAACATTAAACACTTTTGTAATAACTAAAACTGATTATGTTTATTTCTTTTGTTATGTTTGAAGATATCTCTATGCAAGGGCTAATGATGATCTACGACAACGAGAAACAACAACTCGGATGGGTTGCTTCAGATTGCAAGAAGCTTCCCAAATCATAATTAACAACACCAAGTTATATATAGATATGATATTAACAATATAGTAACCCAATAATATTCATGATTATTACATAACAGTTTGAGTAATTAAGAGTTTATTAAAATGTCTTGATTTGACCAGACGATTTCGATTTCTAGACTTTTATTAGAAGAATCATCATTCTTGTTTTCATCATCACTCAGCTTGAAACTTCCACTGTAACTCCCTTCTGTCAATACTTTATCAATTGGGATTGTTACTCTTCCAAGATTTTTCTGCAAAAGATATTTAAACATATCATTAGCAAAAAAAAGATTTGAACCAAAACACACAAACAAATGATGAATCTTGCGTACGTTTCTAAAGATGTTGTTAGATTTGCAAACGATTTCAAGAAACTGTCCTCTTGGAGGAACAGCAAAGTCCCATGTGAATGATTCTTTCCAGACCGGTGAGCTGCTTCGTTTCACAACCTGAAACCAAAACCGGTTAAATATTGTAGCCAAAAAATTGAATTGCACTGAATTGTCACTTTGATTGAACTGTTTTAAGCCGAAATTGGATTAATTCTAACCAAAACCGGATTGAATTGCACCGAATTGCTTAAAACTAGGCATGACCAAAAGCTAACCTTAACCGTATTCTAACCGTAACCAGACCGTTTATCAACCGTAACCAGACCGTAACCGTATAACACGGTTAAAAATCGTAACCGTTAACCGTACAAGTAAATTAGTTACGGTTAGAAAAAATACTGACCGTAACCGTTAATTAACTGTAACCGTAATAAACCGTTGGTTAACCGTACGATTAAACGCTCGATTAACCGTATATTTAAATCCTTCAAATAAATTATATTATAATTGTATACATTGAAAAGAGACATCAACTATTTTGATAAAATTTTCACCTTATTAAAAGCAACACAACAAGTTGAACTCGTAAGTAATCAAAACATTTCATACTAAACTACTTTTATTCTTATTTCCGTGTGTATTTGATGTTGAGTTTCTCATTTTCGATCCAATACCCAAATTTAACTAATTCACTATAAATATTTGAAATCACATATATTTTTTACTTGTAAAATAAATAGTATTTCATAAGATTTTATCTCTAATATTAATATTATAATAATCATCAAATAACCGTAACCATATTTAACCGTAACCGTATATAACCGTAACCATCTTAATTGTATAAATAATGGTTAAAGTTATGGTTAAAGAAAATTATAACCGTTAACCGGTAGTTAATTAACCGTAACCATATTAACCGTAACCGTGGTCATGCCTACTTAAAACTCTGACTGAACCGCTTTAAACAACCGTAACCGGATTGAATTGCACCAAATTGATTAGAACCGGATTGAACCGAACTAAACTAGATTGAACCGAAATAACATTACCTTGGTTTTCTTGGTGGGACAATTATCAATGATTAATCTGCAAAACGCATTGGAACGTTTTAGGTTATCGCCACGTTTGATCGCCACCGTGAGACTTCCCGGCAAAGAATTCAAGAGACTGTTACCTCTCTCATGGAAGCTCGAATGAGCCGGAGATTTCGATTTCATCATCAGTTGCAAAGCCGGAATCGCCTCTGCCGCTAAAACCGCCTGAGATTTCGCGATTTCAGGCGGCATCGTTATCCATGATTGTCGCAAAGTGTATATCGTGTCCATCGCTGAAGCTCTCGCTTCTTGCTCGCCGGATTTTAGAGCTCCGATTAAATGAGGGATACAAGCGGTGGCTGCTTCCGACGAACGAAGTTTGGGAAACGTCGTGAAAATCGCGTTTAGGGTTCTTACTATCTCCACGTTTATCGTCGCCGTCGTCCAAAACTCTCTCTCCATCGCAGCTGCGTCAAAATTGGTGAGTCTTTGATTTCTCTGATCATAATTTAATTAGGAATCAGAACTTACTTGTTAACGATTTGATGATTTCGCCAGAGACGTATTCTTGTAGTGTATGGTTTGAAAAGAGAGATCTGATCATTAGAGCTGCTTGTGTAGAAACTTCTGGATTACAAGATCTAAGCATTTCCTGAAGCAAACATACTCCACCAGCTTCAGCCATAGCTTTACGGCTTGTTCTACTATGCATTGCAAAGTTTCCCAATGCACGCATCACAACCATGTGCATCTCATTGCTTGGTTCCTCTAATATCAAGCTGATTAATGCGCGACAAGCCAGAGGCGAATCCGTGGCTTTAGCTAGTCCTTCGTGTTGAGATATGTCACCTAGAGCCATAGCTACAAGAAGCTTTGCGGATTCTGATGTTGTGTATGGGTCTAGTATGTACTCCGACAAGGGAGTTATTACAAACTGGCATATCTTTATCTCTCTAACCTTTGGACTGCGTAGTATTAGTTCAAGTAATCTTGCAGATAGATCTTCGCAGTGGTGTGATTTTAGTAGATCTAGTAATGCGTCGAGTGCACCAGCTTCAGTCATTTTTAGGACACTTGATGAGTCTTGGTTCTCATGGATTATCAATACATCTATGGCTAAAATCACTATGCTCTCATTTGTTGAGAACAACATTTTTGCGAGAACTGGTATAGTCACTATAAAGTAATAGTGTTCTGGGTTGAATCTAAGAATGTTGCAGAGAATGAAAGTTGCTGATTCCCATAGATATACAGGAAGTTGAGGATCTTCATCGATAATTATCTTGGAAAGCTCTTGAATTCCTTCGGCATCTGCGACCTCCTTTGTCCATGTAACTGAGGATTTCTCTAGACCCATCAACGCTATCTCTTGTAAGTTTCTTACGCTGATCCCCGCTAGTTTCACAAGAGGGGCAATGAGATCCTTGGTCATTATAACTTCTTGGAAACATGGCATTCTGAGAAGTGATGTCAGTAGTTCTGCGGTTGCATTCTTTACAGCTAAAGATTCAGATTCAAGCAATGGTATCATAGGCATAATGACAAGAGAATATGCAATTTTTAATGATTCAAGAATCATTGGCTTCTCCAAGATGTTTGCTATAGCTTGTAAACCACTGAGTTGGCCTTGAAAATCCAAGTCTTGTCTAATCAAAATCGAGAGGAGCGGTTGGATCATTTTTACTGCGTCTTGGCTTCTAGCTACAGCACCAACATTCGTCAAAACTCTGAAAAGCTCTACGATTACTAAACACAAAGAACATGGAGGAGATCTTGAGAGTTGACCAAGGCATTTCTCGATTATCCCCATTTTAATCAGATCCATTTTCCGTGGAGTGTTGTCTTTCGCCATTTTTACAAGACAAGAAATTGCAGCCTCACTGATTAGATAATTTTCAGAAGACACAAAGCCGTAGAAAAGGTTTACACAATCATGTTCTTCTGCAGCATCTGAGAATCTTTTGTTATCCAAGAGGATGTCAAGTGCAAACATCCCAGCTTCTATAGATGTGCTCTTTCCTGATCGAATAAGTGATATAAGAGGTACTACACATCCTGTGGTGGACGAGCTTGTTTTCAAACCTTCGTTGGTAAATAGAAAGCGACATACCCTTGCAGCACTTGTCTTTGATTCAAGTGATGAACTATCTGAACATAAAATTTTGTAGATGTTTTCCAATTGGTTTCCTTCAAGACTAGTAAGAATATGTGGAATTGGACTTGTTCCTATAGTTAGCTTCACTAAAGTTGTTAGAGCAGCCATTTTCTCGCTCTCTAGTGTAGTATTCAACATTTCCATTAGAGGTGAAAGCGCTTTCCATGCTGATTCAGAATCTCTGACGTGTTCATAACTAAAAAGTTCACTAAGCACTCTTGCAGCATTGTAGCGGGTACGTCTAGAAGCAAGATGAAGAATTCCAATAAGCTGCTTCATGGAACTTATAGTTGTTTTGTGGCGTGTAATTTCTGGATTGCGGAAGAGTGATTCTAATAGTTGATAAACAATGATCTCAGTAGAATCTTGAGGACTTAAAGAAAGGTACTTTGCTAAAGCATCCAAACCTCCTGCTTCAGTGATAAGTAGTTTACTTGAGTCATCACACTCTGCAATACGACTCAGAAGCCGAACAGCCATTGGAATAGCTCCAGCTTTATCTGCATTTGGTTTTAAGAGATCCACCAGCAACAAAGTACATTTTCTCATAAAGGAACCATGTCTTACTCTTTCATCTTCGAATAGTACCTCCAAAATGGCCTCAAAAGGATTTTGTACTAGAGACAACTCTTCTGCTAAGGCACAAAGAGAACTTGTGTCTGATTCTGTACATCCTACCAAGTTTACCGTGGTTTGTACAATATCTGAATTCATAATTTCTGAAATGATATCATCATTCTTATGACGAACTAATGCTGCCAACACTTGTGCAGTAAAATACCCATCAATCTTCTGCTCGGATTGCATGAAGGGTGCTAATGTTGGAAAAATATTTTCTGTTACTGGAAATGAGACAATGTTTGGTTCTTGAGACAAAACAGCTAATAATGACAAAGCAATCCATTTTTCTTCTGAATTGGAGAAATTATCCTACAAAAATCAACGATCACAACTCAACAACACCAACACTTGAAGGATATGAATATAAATAAATTAAGAAAGCTAGTAATAGAGAGTGTACCTCTATGTTGGACTTGTTTTTTTGAAGCTTCTCTACAATAGTTTTCAGTCCATTGGCTTCTATGACAACTAGTTTGTTCTTAGGATGAGCAGAGCAAATAATAGAGAGTAACCACATGGAGACTGTACTTCCTAAGAGGGTAACTGGATCAACCATTTCAGAATTATCCATGCTTAAGCAAAAGTTGCTTGTAATGAAATATCTTGGTCTTTGAATTTCAATTCCATATGAAGAAGATTTAGAGTTCTCCTTTGACATATCAAGAAGAGTGCTTACTAAGCTTTTCAAATACCCTGATCGTCCAATCGTTTCCGCCCATAACTTCTTGTCGTTCTTTCCTGCACAAACAAGCAATGTAGCCCCTCCGACTTTTATTTCAGGAATGGATGAGTTGATTGTTCTGTTGGCCAATGAAGAAATTGATTTTGATTGCATCATTAAAAGTTGACCCAGAAACACAAATTGTGTCTTGCAGAAGCGAGACAAGATCTCTATTGCTTTATCTTGCACCAACGGATGACCTTCAGCCACACCGCGAACAAGAGAGTCTAAATACGAAGGAGCTTCAGTGAATGTAGAAAAGGGGTTATGGGACAAGTTAGCACCATATTTAGCTTTGGCCAATAAAGAGAGTACTTCCAAGACGTCGATAAAAGAGCTATTGTTAGTATCAGTTGCTTTCAAGAGATCAATGAGTTCAGAAATAGCAAACCGACACTGATCATTTCCTTTGAACACATCAGTGACCTGGAAATGCTTTAGTAATTGATGAAGAGCATGTGATGCATTTCTCTTACCTTGTAATGTTCCCTCTCTCAACACTCTTGTCAAAGCAGAAACAACATCATCATTTAATGCTTCAGCTGCAACATTTGGGTCTGAAAGAAGGTTTGCAAGAGCGGACATGGGATTCTCTGTTGACTCGATTGGGTTTGTTTTTGCTGACTTTATCAATGGTTTGATCACTTCCCCTTCCGGACCAGATAACTTCTTTGGGCCAATCTTTTTCTTTGTTGGATTGGATAAATAGCCTAGGGCATGTGCTAACTGTGTTGCAACAGCATGAGTGTTTCCACTTAAAAGTTTTGTGCATGGATTGTCATTCTCATCAAATCCAAGACCACCACAAAGGTCATTTCTTGAGTTGAATAAATCAGCCAATACAGAAGCTGCATTCTCTTTCATCTTGTCGTTTGATGAGGCAAGTCTCTGTACAAGAGATCTCAATCCATCATTCGCTGCAGAACCTTTGGTGACAAATTCCTCTAAAGAAGCTGATGCAAGAACATGACCAAGAACTCTTATCAAATGACCCTTTGATTTAGGAGCATCTCCAAGAAACAAAGTTTGTACCTGCTCGATAACATTTGGATCAGCTTTTCTAATCAGTTTCAAAAGCGTATTTGCTGCGCTCTCTTGTGATTTTGGTCCACCGCTCTTTAAAAGCGCCAAAAGTGCAGGAATAGCTCCTGCTTCCTCAACACATAGACGAATTTCCTCACTATGACAACATAGGTTCCAAATGACACGGACTGCATCGTCCTTTGCCTTGTAAGATACACCAGTCTCTAGTATTTGCAATAATGGAGGAATCCCACCTGCAGAAGTAACAGCCCATCTACTTTCTTCAACCTTATCAGTCAAGATCGCTAAGAATTCAACAGAGAGTTCTTGATGTTGTTCACTTAACAATCCAAGATATGGGATGAGGATTTGTATCCCTTCCCTCTTCCCAATAGCATCCCAAACATCCCCATATTTGCATAAATTTGATAAAGAAGTTATCATCCGTTCCCGTGGACCGGCTGTGGCCAAGATTGTAAGACCAACTAAGACCCTTTTTGCCTCCACATTGTTGAGTAATTCTGATAGATTAGTGTTTCCATATAGACTTTCCATAACCTCTAAGATACGTTCTTGGATCAACTGAGTATCTCGAGGCTTTAGTAGTTTCACTAATATTCCTTCTATTAGTGTTGGATCAAAACTCTCTCTATCATCACCAAAACTTAGTTGAAACTTCCTCAAAGCATAAGCAAGAGCTCCAAGAATATCAGGGATGGGCTCAGTGAGGCGTGGAGACAGAGATAACCCTCCAAGATACACTATCAAACCAGACATTCCTCCGCATAAGTTTGCTAAAGCTTGAGTCCCATAACGTTGTAACATTCGTTTATTTTCTTCATCCACTAACTCTTTAGAAGAAGCAACCACTGCACCAATTAGCAGGTGTATCCCATCCAAATCTCTTGCCATATTTTTTGCTTCTTCTGACTTTGATGTGATGGCCTCTAGAGCATTGGCGACACTAGCACGTACAAAAACACTATTTTTCTCACCTAGAAGTTGCACCAGAACTTGCACAGAACCTGACTCTACAATGTTTGAGATGTTACTAGTGAAAATCCTAATAAGACTAGCTAAGAGAGAAGCTGCATTTGATTGAGATACCGGGTTACTAGACTGAAGAAGGCTAAGGATGATATCGACTCCACCATCTGCAAGTGTTAATGCCCAAAAACCGTCTTTATCGCCACAAAGATTTCTCAAAGCCCCAACCAAAAATCCTTCAACTGTCTTGTCCTGTTTTTTATTGGTTTTTAACTCATCCCACAAACTTGGTACTACACCTTCTGTGACAAATATCCTATTACCAACATTATCATCATCAATTCCACACAAGGATACTTCATATATAGCCTCGGCCGCAGCTCTTCTTGCATCCACAGATTCAGATTTCAATAGTGCTAGCAACGGTGGGATGCACCCGCCTATCAATACTTTCGAACGAACATTTTTGTCTTTGCATAGAACGGTGAGGACCGAAGCCGAATTTAGTTTTGCCAAGATGGTTCCATTCCTAAGAATTGATATGAAAGCAGGCATGGCATTTATGTTTTGACTTAGAATCTTTCTACACTCTTTTTTACCCTTGGCTAGACCAAGAAGTCGAGCAGTGCTGAGCTCTTTTTCTTGTTCTGATGATTTCTTTGCATGAAGCTGCTCGATGAGACGTGTTATTGTCACTGCTGCTTTCTCATGATCATCTACCTCCGGACTCATTGTTTTATTGTTTTCCCTTTAACCAAAGCCCTCAATCAGAGAAAGAGCAATGCAAAATATCAAAGTACATGTATTGGAAACATATTAATACCTTAGCCGAGGAGAAGACATTGAAGAATCTTGTTGGTTCGTTGAGGAGGGAGGCTTTGCCATCTTCTCTAATCTGAACGAAAATAAAACTTTTCAATTGATAAGATACTAAAAAAAACTCATTTACAAAAGGAAAAAAAAAATTTAGCTAAGCAAATTCAACAACAAATCATACTAAATATAGAATCCTCTTGGTTTTATACTGTAATTTTAGCGATCAAGAGATTTTTGTGCTACAATGTTTTTTTTTGTTTTCTTCTCTTAATCAGTAATATTAATCATCTATTGATAATGTGTATTTTAGAAACCTAATCATATGATGATAATGCAGGGATCGAATAATATTTACGTATTCTTTTTTTATATATATAACTTTTTGGTTGTTTAATTATAAGGTTAATATCTATGCATCAAATCCTCTATATATTAATAGAGAAGCATTCTCAACCAAAAAAGCTAACGTTTTATTCTCATAAAATATTGCATAAATCCTTTACTATTTTAAACTATTTACAAAAAAATTGCTTACTGCTTATATTAATTTTGGAAAGTTGAAAGTTAAAATTTGGAAATAACTTTACAATCATGATTTCATTACTAATATATTACCAAAACTCTTCAAAAAAAAAAATCCACCCCTATAAATATGTCATTCATGTCATCTAAAATATTTCAGATTTTTTTTGTCAACAAAAATTATTTCAAATTCTAATTTCAAAATTTTAATTATTTTACTAAATAATTACCAAATATTGTGATAAATCCAATCAATAAATAGAATTATCTTTCTATAAATATTTAGAAATCTAAATTGGTATGGAAATCAGTTTATAAAACAGGGAGATCAATGTACATCTATTTGACTATTTCCAAAGGCTGGATTTTTTTTTCCAAATTACTTATCTCGCCTAAATTTTAATATTTGAAATTTTCAAAAACCAATTATGATATTTGGTAAATTGGAAATAGACTGAAATTAGGGATTTAATATGAAAATATGGAATTATAAATCTCATTAAATTTTAGAATTCTTAAATTAGTGTTTATGTCTTAGAAATAACATTTATATATGGGTTGAATCACGAGATGAATTGTAAGACAAGACGAGTGTGAGTCTTTATTTATAATAATATCATTATCTCATACTTCAATACGGGTAAAATCCCCCTTTTACTAATTTTTAACAATACTAATATATGACGTGTATTATCAAACTAATTTAATTAAAATTAGTATTGGTTTCAAAATAAAAATTGGTACTATCAAATTCCTCTTAAAATTGTTAGATAAATTCTAACCAAATCTGTAACATCCAAAAGTAGAAATTAAAAATAAATATTTTTTCCATGGTATACCGTGGGTCAACACCTAGTTGGTGATTTAAAACTAGATTATTGTAACACATTTATTAGGAATTTCTACAAAACACAACGATCCGAACCTAAGAGTTTCAAAATTATCTCTTTTCGAAGAAAATCTGAAATAAAGAAAATGCACAATTAGTTCATAAATTTACATTATATATATCCCAAAATGTTCTACAACTCCCTCCTCCTAATATTCAAATGTTGCAATTAGTTAATGATCTTTTTTTTTTTCCTCAAATAGATTAATTATATTGATGTAAAAGAGTCAATACAAAGTTGGTTCTGAAGCCAACCAGGCTGAGAAATAGAGTTTGAGTAAAAATTACAATCAATACAACCATATTTAGCTAGACTATGAGCAACACCATTAGAAGCTCTTTTAACAAAGCAGAAAGTAATAGAAGAGAATTTTGCAGCCCAGAAGTGTATGTCTCGGATTAAACTAATAATAATATGATTAGTTGATTGTCCATTAATATTTTTGATAAGTGTTTCACAATCACCTTCAAAACATATATCTTGAAAACCTCTAATTCAAACTTGTTGAATAGCTGATAACAAACCTTTTGTCTCCGCTTCCAAAGGAGTGTCTGTATGTCCCAAACTTGAAGATCCCCAAACAACCGCTGAGCCCAAATGATTCCGTACAATCCATCCCGCAGTAGCTCTAGAATGAACAATATCAAAACCCGCATCAAAGTTACACTTGAAATGATGCTCTGATGAAGGAACCCATTGAGAAGATACGTGACTAATTTCCGCTGGTCTTGTAGATATTGAACCTGTGTTATTTGTATGAGAACTAATCCTAATCCAATCCTTAATCTCTCCTTGCGCCTGAAGAACCGTCCGCGAAGCACTTTCACGATAACCATTAAACACCAAATTTTTACGAGCTTTCCAAATATGCCATAATAACCAAAATGGTTGAAATCTTTGAAAATTTGTATTCTCCTGATTTTGGGAAAATACAATTAAATTGGAAAGATTCTCCTCAACATCTTCAGAAAATCCATATATATCAAACAGAGAGACAACTGCAATACGCCAGACTAATTTTGCATGAGAGCAAGTAAATAATAAGTGGTTTATGGATTCCTGATGTTGTTGACAACGGGGACACGTGACATCTAACTGCATTCCTCTAGTAGCTAGACGAGTCAAAGTCGGTAGAGCTTGGGATAAGATACGCCATATAAAATGCTTAATCTTTGGAAGAACTGACAATTTTTTAGTTCAATAGAACCATGCGGCCTACACGGTACAACATCTGGATTGTGTGGATCATGCATCAAAAGCCAATAGCCCAAGCGGGCCGTATAAACACCTGAATTATTATAATGCCAAACCAGCTTATCCGAAGTCTCTTGCCTTGAAAGATGAGTATTAATCAACAACTGCTGATCATCTTGAGAAATTTCCACAGTAATTTTTGTCGTATTCCATGACCGATAAGAACCATTTTTAATTATCACATCTGAACAAAGAAAAGGTGCTGAAAAACTGATTGGGGTTATAGGTCTAGGAGGATGAACATTCAAAACATTATCAACACCAAGACGAACAGAAGTCCCACTACCAACTATATATCTTACTCCTTTCTTTAAAAGATTAATACCCGAGAGGAGAGACGACCAACCATAAGATTGATAACTTTGAACTTTTGTATCCAAAAATTGACGTATCATGAAAATATCTAGCCTTCATAACACGTGCAAACAAAGAATTAGGATGTTGAAGTATTCTCCAGGCCTGTTTAGCAAGAAGAGCATCATTGAATTTTTCTAAATCATGAAAGCCAAGACCGCCCTCTTTTTTTTTAACACTGTAATTTTTCCCAAGCTATCCAAGGTATGCCCCTCTGCTGTGCACTTTTTTCCCACCAAAAATGCATAAGTAAGGATTCAATTTTAGCTATCACTCCTTTTGGAAGTTTGAAACAAGACATTGCATAAACTGGCATAGCTGAAGCAGCCGTTTTAATCATTACTTCCTTTCCTGCTGGAGATAAAAATTTTGCACTCCAGTTGGAAGTACGTTTTTTAACACGATCTATGATGGAAGCAAACATCTCTTTCTTCTTACGACCAAATTCTTCAGGTAAACCCAGATATTTACCCCCTCCTCCATGTTTAGTAATTCCTAGGATGTTTTTGAGATATTGTTGAGTTGATCCATAAACCCGACTTCCAAATGTTATCATAGACTTATCAGCATTTGTAACAACCCGTCCAGTGGGATTCCGCCATGTGGCACACCCCGCCACATGGTAACCTTACAGCGCTGCAGCGCATCGACCCTAACCTCTCTCCTGTGCGCCAAACTGCGTCCACTGCGCGCAGCCTCCTTGCCCACCAGGTAGGTTATTGGTGCGCCTGACATTCCTCGAACCCAGGTCCTCACCTTTTAACAACCTTCCCACTTAACAAGTTGTTACCAACTTATCTATAGTTCTAAAGTTATCTATTGTATACAAAGTTATCTAAAGTTCTTCAAAAATCTTCTATATGTAAAATAAAACAAAAATTAAGAAAATAAATATATCTGATATTAATAAATCGAATACAATTGATTTTTTAATGATAAAGGATCTCAAAATTTAATTTGTAGCTATTTAAAGATATTACTAAGTCTGAACCCGCTCTACAGCGAATGGGAAGATTACCGGTTTGTTTTGGTTTTAATGTAGATGCCTTTGTTTCATAATTGGATGTTAGTCTTGCAATCAGATGGTTATGTTTTTTGTTATTAAGAAGGTTAAAGTAAAATGTATATGTCTTTGGTCACAAATTTAAACTATCCCTATATTAGTAAATTAGTAAAAGAGAAATACAAAAAATGCTTTCGGGTCGGGTCAATTTAAGAAATTACCCGAAATTTGTAATTGGATCTTTTAAAGTTGGATAGATTAATGGGTTTGGATACATACACCGGATACTTTCCAAATCTAATTTTAGTATTGTATTATTTACATTACTAATTATAGATTTACATAACTAATTATACGATTTACTAATATTTCTCTAACTAATTTACCCATCACGTAGAAATCCTTAGAAAACCTTTTATACAGTTATAGAGATCCGAATAAACTTACCAGATTTATTTTTTAAAGTAAGCCGACCCAAATACTTTTTGTACTTCTCTTTTAATATATAAGGGATTTTTTTAAAGTAAGCTGACCCGAATACTTTTTGTACATCTCTTTTAATATAGGAAAATTACCTACAATAACCTACCCTTTTCAAAAAATAGCTATGATAACCCACTTCATTTTTTATTTCTTACATAACTCACTTTTAATCTCAAGATTTTTTTAATTCCAAATTTATCCTTGTTAAAGATTTGATATTAATTTGTTTAAACATTTTGTTCTTATGCTCTTCTATTTAATAGATTTTGATTTCCTTTGTCTAAAATAAAATCGTTGGAAACAATGAACACATGTGTCTCTTGTGTTTTTTTTTTAATTAGCCAATGGACTTTTTAATATTAAATTTGGCTTAGTTGGGCTAATGGACCTTTTATATTTTTTTAAAAAGTAAATAATAGAATAACCTAAACATAATGAAGACAAAAAGACAAAAAAACGTTTGTGTTGTGCCACCACCGGCTTCTCAGCTCGCCGACAATTTCCAGGTCAATCTCTTCCACTCACAGATTGTTGTCCATTGTTTATTTCATTCTCACTACTAAATCTCTTGATTTGTCTCAGTATTAACATCTCTAATATAGTCTTCTCATCTCTAAATATGTTGATTTGATAATTCAATTGTTTTATGAATGTTTTATAGGATGACAGTTCAAACAAACATCGATTTAGGATTTCCTATGTGTTTGTTTTCACTTGGTTGTGAGCCAAAGCCCAAGAAAAGTATTAACTATCACAGCAAAACTGAGTTTCTAGAAGACGTTGAAATTGCTGTTGGAGAAGAAGTGTGGAAAAAAATCCGTAATTCTCCTCTTGGGATAATTGTACGGTTTGTTGATAATAAGTTCACATGGTCTTCCAAGGTTGTTGAATATCTTCTTGCAAAGCAACTTGTTTGTAAGAAGAAATACGAAATTTGGTGTTTGTTTGGTGAAGAACCAACTAGATTCTCTCTATCAGAGTTCGCTGACATAACGACTTTGAATTGTGCTCCTTTTCCAGATGATTGTAAGGGGTATGAAGAGACAAAACTGCATAAAGATATGTGGAAAAAGTTGAAAATCAAAGGGAAGATGAATCCTTGCAGAAGCGATTTGAGAAAGGTGTGTGCAGATGTTGCTACATGGTTACCAGACGACAAGACTAGATTTGCGTACTTGTCTATAGTATCTGTCATCTTAGGTTATGATGATAAGAAACGACTCAGTTCTGAAATATCTCGCATGGTTTTTGATTTACCAAAGTTTGAAAACTATCCTTGGGGCAGACTGGTTTTCAAGCAGCTAATTGAGTCTGTGAAGCGTATAGATTATAAGGCACAATCGTACACAATACACGGGTTTATACAAGCACTCCAAATATGGGCTTACACTGTTGTCCCCGCTCTCGGAGCAAAGATCGGCCGTCCATCAAATGTTAATGGTCCCCCTCTTCTGAAGTTCAAAGGTGCAAAGGGCAAAAGTAATATTGATATACATTCCACCGTAGTTGAAGATGAGGTATGTATAATGCCACTTGTGTTTATTAATGTGTCTTACCTTAGAGAAATAGTAATCTTGTATTTTTTTTGAATTGTAGCTTAACATAAAAAAATTTGTAATTAATGCTTCGACATCCGCTGTTTGGGAGGATAACATTGTTGACAAGGAGATTCATGCTCTAGTCGACGCTATATGCAAGGAAGGAGGTTTAGGAGCTGTTACTTGGGTGAAAGATGGTTTAAACAACATCCAATTGGAAAAGAGCATAGAGGGAGAATTAGGTGTAAAGGGTGAAGAGGATAAAACAGAAGACGAGGATACAAAGATATCACGAAAACGCAAAAGAGAAGTGAATACAATGGGTAAAAGGGAAATAGAAACATTGGATTCAAAAGCATCACTGGTTTCTTTTAGTGAGATAGTTGAAGCGCTGAAGTTGAGGGTCGAGCAAGACGCAAAAAAGTTGGAGGTGTTTGAGGCTCAATTAGAGGCTATGAAAAATCAGGTACAATGCATCGAATTGTTAAGCTTAAGAGTTGAACTTCTCGAGAAAGAAGTGATGTTACTAAGTGAGAAGATAAAGACTAATGAGGTAAATCATAGTATTTAAGTTTGTTGTTTTAGTAGTATATATGATTTTGGCATATATTTGTAGGTGTGTTTTTTCATGTATTACTATGTAGTAATTAATTTAATTGTTCTTATTTGTGTAGGTTTTAAAACCATACCAGCTGAAAGATTATAGTGACGTTGAAATGCATTTGGATGAGTTGCATGCTAACCTAAATGCAGTAAATGATACAAGACAAAAGACTCTTGATTCAGATGGAGAGAGTACAGTGGATGGAAGAAACCCCGTGGCAACAACTTATAATGAACAACCGCAAGAATCTTCGCCTATAAAGATGTTTCAACCCACTACCTCTAATGTTGAGAAATTCAAGCAGAAGAAAATCATGAAGACAATCAAAATTATGGAAACAGATCATGAACCAATAATTACACGAGATAAGAGCCAAAGGGAGACAAAACTGGGGCCATCTTTGCGAACACCATATCGGGGAACTAAACCAGCTATAGGTATGACACCCATAATCAACCAGTCAATGGCAATTGTTGGACGTGGATATGATCCATTCGCACCGGTGGATGAGCAAAAAGTTAAGGTTTTAAACGATTGGTTACAATTGGATGAGTAAGTTGTTTCTTACCATTACTATCATGGTACTAGTTACACTTTGATGTTTTTAAATCGTAATTTTTTTTTTGTACTGCAGAGAATATCCAATTGGCTCCCAACAAAATGGCGTCGAGTTTTTTAATATTCTTAGAACTCCTCAAAAGTGGCTAAATGAAGAGGTTACTACAACGATCATTGTTTCTTCTAACTGTTTTCATTAACATTATGTTGTGTTATAAATTTTCTTCTAATATGTCATGTCTGTTTGTAACAGCATATTAATAGCTGTATGGATTTGCTACGCTTGAGATTTATGAAGAATCAAAAAGCATTCAGAAGTGAGAGGATTGCTTTTGCAGATGCTTATTTCACCTCACTTTGGTCCAACGGTTACCAAGAATTTCTGGGGTCAAAAGAACTACCTATTTTCCCTAACGGAGCATTTGAATACGTTACCGGGGAACTACCAGCATTTGCTAAAACAGGAAAGAAGTGGAGGATAGATGTGGACGACATTTATGGCGTTCTCCATGTCAATAAAAACCACTGGGTAGGACTATTCATTTCTATCCCTAATCGTTCTATTGATGTGCTTGATTGTGGGTGGAAATATAACAAGAATGAAGACATTGTCAAAGCCGTGAAGCCGATAGCTCATATGTTACCACATTTACTTCGAGCTGGAGCACCACCATACGAAAAGACAAAACTTAGTGTCGAACAATACAAAATTCGAAGGCCACGAACCAAGATTCCCCAAATGCAAAAAGCAGGTGATTGTGGAATTTATGCTATAAAGTTTGTCGAATGCCATGCATTAGATTTTGAGTTTACTACGTCTTTGTCCGATGTCAACATCAAGATGATTAGAGAGAAACTTGCAGCTGAGATTTTTGACGAGACAGAGCAACATGGGCGAACAATCTCTAACCCATTGCCATTTGGAACAAATGATCGAGAGTTACTAAATCCCTATTGAATTTGCTTTTAATTAGAACATTCTTTGCTGTTTTGATTTTCACATGAAGCATTTTTTTCATGTTTCAGAACTTTTCAATTTTTAAAGAAACTCAATTTTACTTCTTTTTACCATTTTTAATGATTTGGACTTTACAGAAAAAATTGCTAAGATAAATGGATGATAAATTACTGCTTTGTCCTAATTAGGCAAGATAAATATACACGCTCCACATTATCAAGTTCCAAGCAATGACACGGAGCATTATGAAATGAGGCCTTACACACTCCAATACGTAATGTGTGTTGTGGTCGAAATTGTTTGTAGTTCTTTGTTTCTTGTTTTCCTAACCACTCGATATGGTTGGTTGCATGGCTGGTTAATTAATTCATTTTTAATTACTTGTTGTTTGGTGTGCTACTTTAGTATATATTTTGTAATGTTCTTGTAATTTAGATTATCATAATTAAACTCCATTATATGTTATGAAATAAAATTAATAAAGATTTAAATATAAATAAAGCTCTAAAATGAAGTATACATGTTTTGGACGTAAAAAAACCAAACCAAGTCAGCAACATAAAGCTTAAAGTGACAAAGCAGGTGCATATAAGTTATTAGATATTGTTGCAGGTGGTACGGTTATGTCCTGCGATCTTACATTGTGAACACGTGTAATGCTTGCGCACCTTCATGGTTGCTTGCCCTTGAGATAACTTTTTCTTTCGTATCTTTTTCTGTGGTGCTTTTTTTCCCATCGCCTTCTCAAGTGCAGAAAGATACCTTGACTTCTTTGGTCTACCAGCACCACGTCTTTCCTCTGGTGGACGACATCTTTTTTTTGCTATATCTATAGGAGACTCCAGTTCAACATCTTCCGGACTAATAGATTCTGCATATGCGTTACACCAATAGTTTTTCGTGTAATAAGGATGTACTAGAGTCACCTCAGATATATTTCGTCGCTTCTTAGCAGCAGCAAGAGCATGTTCACATGGAATCTTATCGATATCGTAAACACGGCAGGTACAACGCATCTGTTACAAGTGCAAAAAATAAGTTTAAGAAATTAACTCTACCATCATATGAGTATGGGAACTAGAAGTGTACCTGTTGTAGATCAACGACACAAGCAAGTTCACCGCCAGTGACATGGCTACGATGGGCATCAATGTGTTGCACATAAAGAGTGTTGGCAATCTCAGTTCGTTTTTCCAATGTTTTTTCCACTTTAGGGGTGAATAAAGTTGGTAGTAACATTGCACGTTCCCGACGTCTCACAAACCACTTTGATATCAACTTCCGCAACTCTTCCAAGAAACAAGCTATAGGATACTCACGAGCATTTAAAAGAACTTTATTCATAGACTCAGCAATGTTACTTGTCATTATGCCATACCTACTTCCTGGAAAATTTGCTCGCGACCACAAACGAGTATCAGCATTCTCCAAATACATCGCAAGATCAGACTTTTGATTTCGAATGTCGTCAAATATTCTTGTGAATTCGGAAACCCTATAGACTTTCATGGCTTTTTTAACCAAGTTCAATATACTACTCTCTTTGTACTTCTTGATAATGTTTTGGTAGAGATGATATGTGCATATTCCTCGATGAGCTAACGGGAAAACCTTCATAATAGTTTTTCCAATGGATTTGTGTCTATCAGAAACTATAACCAGCTCATGATGGTCGATACATACCGCACGCAACTGAGTTAAAAACCATTCCCATGCATCATCATTTTCAGAATCAACAATTCCAAAAGCTATGGGAAATATCCTACCATTTCCATCTTGCCCAACAGCTACAAGCAAAACACCCAAAAACCTTCCTTTCAAATGAGTCCCATCCACCACAACCACATTTCTTATAAATTGAAAACCGTGGATACATGCACCAAATGCGATGAATAAGTACTTAAATCTATCTTGTTCATCGCATTCAAGTTTGGTAATTGTACCTGGATTTGCTGTTTCAATCCTGTGTAGATAAGATGGTAAATCCTCATACCCACTCTCCCATGTACCTCGTACCATCTCACGTGCATGCACTAATGCCTTGTATGCCTTCCAGTAATCAATGTCAATGCCGTACATAGCCTTCATGGCATCCATGATGTGCATAGGTCTTATCCCTACACCAACTTTCCCAAATTTTGCTAAATACAACTCTCCAAAGCATTTTGACGTTGCTTGTCGATGACGAGAACACCTCTGAATGACAGGACATGTATGAATGTCTATGTACTTTCGTACTTTAAACTGAGAAGATCTCTTAATTTTCGATGCACGAATCCTCCAAGAACAACCAGGGACATAACATCTCAGTACAAGCAAAGTTTTCGTCGACTTACTAGTTGTATAATCAAAATTCTGAAAAATTGTAATCATACGCAACTTAAACTGTAACTCTGCCTTACTATCATAAATTTGCCCTGCCCTAATACGTTCAAGAGTCTTCGAAGTAGTTTGTATACCTTCTAACCCTTGAAGCATTTGCTTTCCAATCTTCCCACTAAAAGACATATCTGAAGCATCACTATCTTCGTCGGAATTTTGACAATATTCAGTTTTGTCTAGTTCAGCAAGCGAAACACTTCGTGTATTATCTCCGCATATACTTTCAAGTATACCACTTTGGACCTCATCAAATTCAAGTCCCTCTTCACCATATCTGTCAAGGGTACCACTGTTCTCTTCACTTTCACAATATCCATCAAGCGTACCACTTTTTTCCTCATTATCAATCACTTCATCAATGGTGCCCTTGGTCTCCTGAAAAGAAAATAATTGTTTTAATCAATAATTAAGAAAATGAATCTTAAACAATAAAGCATAAAAGATAGTGAAATAATCATTTAAAAGTCTAACAAACTACTAACAAAATGACAATTCTACATTCTATTACAAGTCTGCCAAATATCATATATAAGTCTCTCAACAAAAGTTTAGAAGTCTACCAAAGATAAGCAGACTTGAGTAAAATATATCGAATGTCTATTAACCTTAAGTCTAGGAAAAAATGAAATTGAAATCTAACTAAAATGCGTAGATTTTATAGAGATCAATGAATCTCTACAAGGTGTAAACTAACTATAAGTTGTCAAAAAAAAATTTTGAAGTCTACCAAAAATGTGAAGACTTCACCGACTAAAATATTTTTAAAGTCTACAAAAATTTGGTAGACTTAACCGAAGTCTATTTAAATTTCGTAGACTTTACCAAAGTCTAGCAAAATCTCGTAGACGTTGGTAAATTCTATCCGTAAACTAACATATAAGTCTGGAAAATATATTTTTAAAGTCTACCAAATATTCGTAGACTTTACCGAAGTCTATGGACTAACTATAAGCCTTCAAATTTTTGATTCGAAATCTACCAAATATACGTAGATTTTACCGAAGTCTATGAATATTCGCAGATTAACCTATAAGTCTGATAAATATATTTTCTAAATTTACCAAAATTGCGTAGACTTTACCGAAGTCTACCAACACTTCATAGACTTTACGGAAGTCTATGAATATCAGCAGACTAACCTATAAGTCTAACAAAAATATTTTTAAAGTCTACCGAAGTCTACCAAAACTTAGTAGACTTTAGCAAAGTCTATCAATCTTCGTAGACTAACTACAAGTATGAAAAATATATTATTTGAAGTCTACAAATAATGCAAAGACTTTACCGAAGTCTATGAATATCCGCAGAATAACTTACAAGTCTGACATAAATATTTTTAAAGTCTACCAAAGTCTACAAAACCTTGGTAGACTTAACTGAAATCTAGCAAAATCTCGCAGACTTTACCAAAGTCTAGCAAAATCTCGCAGACTTTACCAAAGTCTACAGATCTCCGTAGACTAACATATAAGTCTGGAAAATATATTTTTAAAGTCTACCAAATATTTGTAGACTTTACCGAAGTCTATGGACTGACTATAAGTCTTCATATTTTTGTTTCAAAATCTACCAAATATACGTAGATTTTACCGAAGTCTATGAATATTCGCAGATTAACCTATAAGTCTAACAAATATATTTTCTAAATCTACCAAAAATGCGTAGACTTTACCGAAGTCTACCAACACTTCATAGACTTTACGGAAGTCTACCGAAATATACGGATCTCTGTAGACTAACCTTTAAGTCTGAAA